ACCCCACTGCGAAGCCCCCATTTCTGAAGAAGGGTCTAGGCCCGAAACGTCACCCTTCCTGCTCCTCTGACGCTGCTTGGCCTGCTGTGTTCATCTAGCTCTACACCTTGTTATCTCTGTCTATAAATTGCGTGCTTTTTGAGCCAAAGAGAATGTACCTGCAAATACAAATTCACCCCATAGATTCACGTGTGTGTGTGTGTGTGTGTGTATGTATATGCGTGCGTGTGTGTGTAAGAGAGGGAGACAGAGAATCAATCAGGGGCCACTCTGAAGATGACGATGAAAGTAAGGAATTTTCTTTTGTAACAATGAGCATGTTGACATTTTGAGTAATCTGGACTCTTGAAGATTTATAACAATTCTCTGTAATGACCCCAAGTACTGCCGCTTCAACACTGAAGGTACAATAACTACATTTGACATCTTTCCTTCTTTCTCAGTTATAGTAGAAGAAAAAGCTAGAAATACTCAGCAGATCTGGAAGCATCTCTGGAAAGAGACTCTTCCTGAGTTGACAAATTTAGGAGAATTTAGGAGGCACGATTGCTAAGTTTGTGGATGGCACCAAATTTGGTGGTATAGTCAATAGTGAGGAAGGTTACCTAAAATTACAAAGGGATCTTGATCAATTGGGCTGATGGACTGAGGACTGGCACATGGTGTTCAATTTGGATAAATGTGAGCTATTGCATTTTGGTAAAACAAACAAGGGTAGGACTTATACAGTTAATGGTAGGGCCCTGGGTGTTGTCAAACAGAGAGACCTTGGGTTCAGATACATTCTTTAAAAGTTGTGTCACAGGTGGACAGGATGGTTAAGAAGGCGTTTGGCACACTTGCCTTCATTGTTCAGACCATCAAATGGAAGTGATGGGATGTCATATTAAGGTTGTACGGGACGTTAGTGAGGCTACTTTTGGAGTACTGTGTACAGTTCTGGTGTCCCTGCTATAGGAAGGATATTATTAAATCAGACAGGGTTCAGAAAAGACATACCAGGATATTGCCGAGACTGGAAGTTTTGAGTTATAAGGAGAGGCTGGAACATTTTTCACAGGAGTGTGGGAGTTTGAGGGGTAACCTTACAGAGGTTGATAAAATCATGAGGGGCATGGATAAGGTGAATAGCAAAGGTATTTTCCACATGGTGGGGGAGTTCAAAAGTAAGGGGCATATTTTTAAGGTGAGAGGAGAAAGATTTAAAAGGGACCAGAAGGGTTGCTTTTTCATACAGAGGGTGGTTCATATGTGAAATGAACTTCCAGAGGAAGTGGTAGATGTTGGTACTGTTACAACATTTGTAAGGCATTTCGGTAGGTACATGAACAGGAAACCTCTATAGGGATATGGGTCAAATGCAGGCAAGTGGGACTAGTTCAATTTGGGAAGCTTGGTTGGTTCGAAGAATTAGACCAAAGGGTCTGTTTCCGTGCTTTATGACTCTATGAATCATTCACAACCTTCATTGTTTCATTCTTGCCTCATTTAAAAGAGAAAGGTATTAATGTGTGATATGATAAACAGATCATAACAGGAAGGGATAGAGTGCAAATCTAAGAATAAACAAACAGATAAGACTAGAAGCTACAAAAAACAATAAAAGGATAAAAGCAAAGATTCTGTAACTGAATACACACATTATTTGAAACAAAACAGATGAAAGCAGACTGCAAATAGATTGGTAGGCATTGGAGAGACATGGCTAAAGGATGTCAAGAACTGGCACCTGAATTTTGAAGAGTATAGTACATGTAGAAAGAACAAGAAGCCCAGAAAAGCTGGAAAGGATGAAGTAGTCTAGTATCAATGCTGCACAGGTTTTGTCCTGAGTTTGGAGCTGATTCTCTCAAGTACAATAGCGACCAAGTCTATTAGAATGTTTGTGTACCCAAAGATGATGCAACATCCGATGAATGATGCTTCAGCTTCCACTGTAACACAAACAGCAGATGCAGAACTTCTAGGTGCTCACATAAAGCTCAGACTCTTGTTATGCAAGATCAGCTCACTTTCATGCAAGTACAGACTGCTCTCAGGCAAGCTCAAAAAGTAAGCACAAAAGCTACAATGACAGCCATCATCAATGAGCAAATACAAATGCTCAAAAGTACATTCGGGGTCACACAACAGTTCAGCAATCTGGATTTCAGCAGATTATACAGATTGCTGAGGGACTGTTCTGGGGAAACGGACAGATATTCCCACATCTGCTACACCTGCCATGTCCTTGCTGTTGTCTGAAATCTGAAGCTTGGTCTTTGGAGCTCAAAGCTGCTTAAAGCTGTCCTCCAAGGCCTTCACTGAAAATTAGTAGTCTTTCACTCAGTACAATGCAACTATTGGGATAGCTCTGCAAAAGGCAACTTGGACAGGCAAAAGCACATAACAGACAGGCACTACAGAGTGTACAACTTTTGGTTTTTGTGTGCAATATGGAATACTTTTGACTTGTAAATTTTGTTTAGAATGTTTATATTGTGCTGGCTATTATTTTCATATTGTGACCAAGCAGACTTTGGGATGGTCAGTAACAGAACAAGGGTAACACCAGGTACTGTTGATAAAAGGAAATTTGGGGTTTTGTTTGATGATAAGCTGACCCTAGGCTGGCCAAAAAGAAACTTGTCTAGGCCACCTCCTCTCTTCTTCCTCTCATCCTTCTCATCTTCTAATCAGGAGTGTATGTAAACTGCCAGTACCATTTTGAACTTCCAAATATTGATGCTAAGACCAAATTTCAAATGCAATATTTGGAATTCTGGTGTGGGCATGATTGAGCTCTGCTTATTTTCTGCCTCCTTCCTATTCTATTTTATTTTCTAATGTTATTTTTAAAATGGATCCAACACATTCATCAAAACAATGGGCAAACTGCACATGAACACATTCATCATTTGCTTGTAATATCATCAGCTCTTTTATTTGTTTATGGGCAAAAAAACTGCATGAAGTGATGAAATTTCAAAATCACAGATATATGTGGCACTGAAAAGGAACAAACAGACCCAATGGCCTACTCCTATTTCTTATGTTCCTCAGAAAGCCATTCAGCCCATCATACCTGTGTCATTAGGAGAATTATCCAGCCAAATCCCACTTTCAGCACTTAATCTATTGCTCAGTAGGTTTCGTACATCCCTTCTAATTCTATCAATTATTTTAAATCAGTCTCCATAGTTGCTGACCTTTCTGCTAAGAGGAATGGGTACTTCCAAATAACTCATATTAAACATGTCAATTAAATATAATTATTTATATTTAAATAATATTATTAAACATGTCTGTTCTTTTGTTCCAAAGAATGCAACTCTAGTCTTTCTCACAGCAAAAATTATAACTCTTCTCTGTACCCTCTGTACTGAAAGGCTGTGACCAGAATTCTACCATTAGTCTGCCAAAAGGGGAGGCAATGGCCTAGTGGTATTATTGTTGGACTGTTAATCCAGCAACCCAGATAAAATTCTGGGGACCTAGGTTCAAATCCTGCCATAGCAGATGGTGGAATTTGAATTCAATGAAATATCTGGAATTAAGAATCTAATGAGGGCCATGAATCAATTGTTGGGGGAAAACACCCACCTGGTACACTAATGTCCTTTAGGGAAGGAAAGTGCCATCCTTACCTGGTCTGGCCTACATATGACTCCAGATCCACAGCAATGTGATTGACTCTGAACTGCCCTCTGGCCAATTAGGGATGGGCAATAAATGCTGTCAAGCCAGCAATGTCCTCATAACTAATGTTTTATACAGACCTAGCATAACCTCTCTTGTCTTATACTCTAGGCCTCATCAAGTAAACGAACGTACCTTGCATTTATTTCAACAACATTTTCAATTCTTTTTTCACAAGTGTGAATGTTGCTGACTATGCCAGCACTTGCCTATCATCTCTAAATGCCTTGTAGCCAGTTGTGGTGAGCCACCTTCTTAAACTGCTGCATTCTATCTTGTGCAGGTACACCCATAGTGCTGTTAGGGAAAGAGGAATTTGATCCAGTGACAGTGAAATAATGACCATATAGTCCCCAGGTAGAACGTTGTGTGGCTTGGAGGGAACTTGCAGGTGGTCCCATGTGTCTGTTGCCTTAGCCCTTCTAACCATGGAAGGTACAGGTTTAGCAGCTACTGTCAAAGGAGGCTTGGTAATTTGTTGCAATGCATCCTGTATATGGTACACACTGCTGCTAGTGTGTGTCAGTGATGGAGATAATGAACGATTAACTTGGTGGATGAGATACAGATTAAATCGAGCTGCTTTGCGATGTCAAACTCCTTACTTGTTTTTGGAGCTGCAGTCCTCCAGGTTAAGTGGGGAGAATTCCACCACACTACATCTTATCCTACTTTATGCAGTGATCTGCGGACATAGTGGTCCCGCTGTTCCTCTACACTTTAGTCTCCAGTTATTGTGCAATTCCTTACCTTAGTTTTTTTTTTCTTTCCAAGTGCATTACCTTATTCCTCCCAATTAAATTCCATATAGCGCTTCTCGGAGTCCTTATCCCTCCATTGACAGCTGCAATCTCCAGCTTTCTGCCTTACTATTCGCCAAACTGCCCATCTCACCTACAGCTTTAAGATCATAAGCCCCAATTAAACTGCCTCTCTCAAACGAATTCAGCAATTAGAAAATTCTGAATCGAACAGCCACCAGCATCACCTGTCAGTCTTGAAGTCCGATCCACAGATCGATTTACAGACATAAATGCTGTGAAAACTATTTGAAAGCACTTACGGCTCAGTGGTTACACGTTCTTTCTTAGCAACATAATTAAAAGGAATATATCCCGTGCAGTTATGGCCCTTGGAATGAGTTCGTTTCTTTGCAAACAACCAAGTTCCCGGTGAACGGTCGTCCTCCTTAAGGATTTCAAACTCATCCCCAGCTTGGAAAGACAGTTCCTCAGTTGTCCTGGCGCTAAAGTCATACAGCGCCGTGTAAACGCTGCTCCAGCTCTCCTTCGGAGTAGATACCAGAGAACTCCGACGCTGTGGTAAATCCTTCCCTCCATCATCCTCAGGGCTTTCTCTAGAAGCGAAGATTACATTCCACACGGAATTTAAACAGGGACAGATCCTTTGTAAGGTTTCGGCCATGGAGGTGAACCCTACTCAGATTCTCTCCCTGCTGTCCCCTCCACCTCCAGGGACGATGGTGATGTCCCGCTTGTTACATTTTCGAAAATGCAAGCTTCCATCTCACTTCCTCGTTACTTACATTGATGTAATCAGAGTGTGTTTTAAGAGAAGATTATGCCATTTAAACCACGCCTTGGGCTGTGTCCATACTTTGTGCGGAACGAAAATGCCAAGAATATTTTACCAGTTGGAGCCTAAATCCAATGAGCGTGAAGACAGGATGGAATGAAGAAAGTGAGTTGTCTATGTTGGTGAAATTTGAAAGCGGCAGCCACTACAATAACTGTTAGCATCCCAAGGTTAATCCATTGGCACTGCAGAGGAACAGCACCTCAACACTCTGGCCCCAACACCACATCTTCCCAGCGCCCAACAAGTGGCAGCTAGTCCCACATCACTGTTTGCACCAGAACTCCTCTTCACGCTGCATTACAGCTTCCACTCAGCTGTGGTTCACTTGGTAACAACCTCACCTTTAAGTCACGAGGTTAAAGGGTTAAGTCCCACTCCAGAACTTAAGCATTAATGATCAAGGTTTTGTGGTGTAGTGGTAGCATCCCTATGTCTGGGCTTGAAGGTCTGGGTCAACTCTCCCCTCTGGATGTGATAGCATGGAGGTGTGTCATACCATATCCAAACAGGTTCATTAAAAAAAAGTCAAGGCTTCTACTTGGTGGGGTGGGGTGGGGAAAGATTTGTACAGGATGGGGCAGATCACAAAGTGTGGCCCACCCCTTCCCTCATGATTCTCTAAACACCAGTCTTTGAGTCTGCAAGTTTCAATTCGTTGTGTTTACCATTCACCAGTGTCAATTGTTTAATCCCCTTTTATTTCTTATGCTCATTTTTCTAACAAAAACAAAACCCACCAATCATGATCAATGCCAAGAATTTTGTGTTTACCGTAAAAGATGTTCCAGACTGCTAAATATTTCGATAATTATATTGCAATCCTCTTGGAATTATAGGCTGGAATTCCTTGACACATCTTTGCACTAAAGAAGCCTTACTGCTTTCTAACCAAACTGGAAATGTATCACTCTCATCTATCACTCCAGCTTCCTGTTCCTCCCAGGTACCTATGATACTGGTGCAGGCTCCCCCAAAGTGTAGTGTCCTGAGCAATTGTCCTGATTCATCTGACCATAGGGATGGTTCTGCCACTACTGCTCAGTACTCCAGCAAAGTACTGAGGGCGTGCTGCACCATCAGAGGGGCTGTCTTTATGATAAGGTATTAAAGCAAGCTGAGTTCTGAGGAAGGGTCACTGGACCCGAAACGTTAACTCTGTTTTCTCCTCCACAGATGCTGCCAGACCTGCTGAGCTTTTCCAGCAACTTTGTTTTTGTGCCATCTGCCTGCTTTGGTGGATGTAAAAGATCTCATGGCAGGAAGTTATCTCTGATATCTCCAGATTATCTGGTCATTATCTCATTGCTGTTTGAGGGATCTTGCTGTGAAGTAAATTGCATTTCAATAGTGACTACACTGAAAAGTACTTCATTGGCTGTAAAGCATTTTGAGGCATCCAGTGGTGGTGAAAAGTGCTACACAAATGTAAAACTTTCTTTTTAGCCTTTTATCTGAAAGTGCCAACTCAACAAGTGCTATTCCAATATCATTCCTATCTTTAAAAAAAAAGTGATCTGTGCCTTAGCAATGGTTGTGTTCCATGACTTATTTTGGTGCATCCTTCTCATGAAAGTTGCTGTGGCTGAAACCTCTGAATAAGGAGTTGATCATTTAGGAATGAGGTGAGAGATTTCTTCACTCAAAGGATTGTGAATCTTTGGAATTCTTTCCCCTCAAAAGGATGTGAATGCTTCGATATTTATCTCTTCCAACCTTGAATATATTCAGAGACTTAATCTCTCAGGAAATCAAATGAGTTAGCAGGTAGACGGGAAAAGTGAAGTTGAGGTAAAAAGTGATTGTATTGAATGAGGAATTAGGATTGAAGAGCAATGTTCTGAAGAAGTCATACTGGACTTGAAGCATTAACTTTGTTTCTCTCTCCACAGATGCTGCCACACCTACTGAGTTAATCCAGCATTTTGTATGTTTGCTTCTGGAGTAATGTGGTCTACTTCTGTTCCTATAACACAATAATATTGTGTAGGTCTGATGGGGCATACTGTGGGTGGGAGAAAGGATGAGGGGGAACAATAGGTAGTTGCTCAAGTTCGTAATGATCAAATGCCACAGAACTTCATGGAATATGACATATGCAGGGATGCTGATTGGCTAAAAAATGTGAGCCTGGCAGTATGACTATGTCAGGTTTGACTAACCTATGGGAAAGCTATTGCTAGTTTTGGACAATGTCCCAGATGTTAGCTAGAAAAGCTTTACAAGTTTGACTGAGTGTGCCTTTGTTGTTTCATTCTGTGCCTAGGCTAATGCTAAATTACTGTTCGGGTTCTGTCTTTTTTTTAATAGCAGTTCATTATAACAAAGTGTCTTGCTGGCCATTTCAGAGGACAGTCATGGATCTAGAGTTACATGTAAGCCAGATCAATTAATGAATTTAATAGCAATTATTCAACAGTATGTCGCGTGCGAGGCACACAATGTGTACTGAGATCTTGTAGAAGAAGAGGCAGATATTTCTTGAAGAACATTAGTGAATCAGTTTTATTTTTATATGACTTGAAATAATGATCATAAGTGTGAGAACTGTGTCTTTTTGTTTCTGTGTCCTTAAAAATGTGGGATGCAAGGAGAAAGAACAATTTTTAAAATCAAGGATTTACCAGAATGCCTCCAAATTTTTTGTGGAAAGGAATTCATTATCTATTGCAAACTCTGTCTTTGTGACTTGTGTTCTTACAATTGCAGGCAATCAGGAACTGAGGAGTTATTTAAAAGTGAAACTGATTGGTTCTCATCTAACTGAGCAGGTTGGAATGGGAAACAAGTTACAGAGATGTGGACCAGTTGCTTTGCATTTGATGCCAACCTCTATAGAGAAAGGAAGCAGGTATTTACTGCCTATTTAGTGCACCTTGAGATGTTGGGGACTGCTGGCCAAGATGGAGGTCTGGAAGGCTAAGTGATAAGCTGGAGCTGTCAGGTACCTGCTCTGACTCTCATGTTGGGAATAGTCACTGTCTGGTTTCTCTCCACAGACTGGGAAAATTGCAAATGACATACGTGACATGAAATAAGGTAATAATGAGATGTCAACATATCCAATTAGGCCATAATATATGCAGAATTTCAGTGTTCACTAGCAAATTTCTTATCTCTCAATTAAAAACTTGGCTGGAAAATTGGACTTTAGTTGTCAATGTCCAGAATTTCACTCTTCTGTTCCCACCATATTTTACCAACTGATGTGCTATTACAGGTGTCATTTAGCACCTAGAGAGATTCCACCCAATGACTTTTGGCCCCACAGCAAACGTTATGATATTGAATGAAAAACAAATCACCAAGTGTCTGCAACAGACTATAACTGCAAAGAGGTTTTCAATTACATTTTTATTCTCAGTTCAATCAGAAGCAGAATATAATGATAAATTAAACAAAAGTCACAAAGAATCACACTGTATGGAAACATGTCTCGAATAAAGACATGTATTGGCGACAGCTGTGGACTTGTAAAACTTCAAAAATTATCTTCTTTGTTCAGAAATTTACAATTGAACAGTCTAAAAAATTTCAAATATCAAAAACAGAATGTGGTGGAGAAACTCAGCAGGTCTGGCAGCATCTGTGGAGAGGGAAACAGAACTAATACCTCATCTTTAATGTGACTCTTCTTCAGAACTGTTCAGAATTTAAGCCTGCACTATGCCACAAGCAGTGAAAGATAATTCTGTCTGCTATTTTAACAGAAACATAGACCTCACTTTTTAGGCAGCCATGCATTTGGAGTAATCTCAAAGAGCAGCTGCCAATCAGTTGGGGTGTGAGTCCACCATTTTGTGAGAATGAGCGGCAGGAGGAGGGGATGGAGAGAGAAATATAAAAAAAAGGTGGCTCAGGGCTTAGCACTGCTGCGTCACAGTGTCAGGGACCCGGGTTCAATTCAAGCCTCAGGCCACTGCCTGTGTGGAGTTTGCACGTTCTCCGTGTGTGTGCATGGGTTTCTTCTGGGAGCTCTGATTTCCTCCCACAGTCTGAAGATGTGCAAGTAAAGTGGATTGGCCATGCTAAGTTGCCCATAGTATCCAGGGATGTATAGACTAGGTGGGTTAGCCAATGGGCATTGTGGATTTGATGGGCTGAATGGCCTGCTCCCACACTGTTGGGATTTTTTTGGATTCTGTTCTATGTTATAGAAGAGGAAACCCATGTATTACATTTTTGGTTGGCAATGCCTACAACACGAGGACACATCCCAGTGGAGAACCAGTAGGGAGGCAGAATGACTTTGCAATTGGTGGGAGAGACTGTATGGAGCAAAATGACAACCAAGTAGAGCAGAGAGATGGCAGTCAGAGGAGGAGTGAGATAGTAGTCAAGGCAAGACAGTGATTATGGAGGTGGAAGCAGGTGAACCTAATGGGCTTAGTGTGACGTTTGGAGGATGATGGTGGAAGAAACGCTCCTGCTCTGCCTGGCCCACAAGCAGCACTGTAGCTTTTTGGTTCCAGCCCTGTTTATCTCCTTTTGACTCTCAGGTTTCATGAGGCCCAGGAACTGACAGTAGTTAAAAATGAAAAGCTTGTTAAAATGGAGAGATGCCTTATCATTAAAATCTGATAGCAACCATTTGGCTTAATGAGAGCAGATTGGCCATAAATTTTCCACCAACCACTCACACCCTGTCTCTTAAAACAAACAGGTGGGTTTGAAATTTTAAAAATTACAACTTCTCATCCAATCCATTTTGGAGGTGAAAATTACTCCCATTAGCGAGACATTTTAAAATAATTCAGTTAACATCTTTGTTAAATAGCAGATTGAGTAATCTCATATCGACGAGTCAAATGCCTTCCCATTAATAATGCCAATAATAATTTATAATCTGTCTCTCCTTTAAACATGCAATTGATTAGTTGTCAAATCATGAATGCAGCAAATTAAGTTCTTTTTATGGTTTACTTATGAGCTATTTTAATGTGAGTACAGTTTGTAGAGGCGTGGGGGAGGGGAGAAGATTGTTTTCACCAAGTTTCAAATGAAATTTCAGGGATCAAAGGCAAGACCTCATTTCTACAACACAAAGTGAGACTCCCTGCCAGGAACTCAAACTCTGGAAAGGAATAACAAATGCAATGACATGAGTATTTTTCCATTTCAAATTAAGTTCAAATTTAATATCAGCATTTAAAATATTTTACAAGAAAATAATGCTTTCATCATCATCTAAATGGATGCCTGCTTATCAAGAACTACTCATGTTGAACCCATACGATGTCTTATTAGTATTTATGAAATAACACAATATTGTTCAGCAAAACAGTTGTTCACTATTATGTGGTTCCCAAATTCTATCAAGTAACCTCCTACTAGTAACTAAGCAATGATCTCATATGCATCAGGATTATTTCACGTTATTGAATCAGCCTTGATAGCTGCAAATTTCTGAGATGAAGGTGCCATACATTGTAGATCACGCCAAGTGCATTTTAAGTGAAGTATAGAATTTATGAATGTAATCATGAACAAGTTTGGACAGTATTACTCACTGAATGTTATCTTTAGTTATTCTGATCTAGCAACTTTTTTTGGCATTTACTTAGCACAAACTCCCTTTGAAATTTGGGAGTTTTGGCACTGTTTTGAATGAAACAGATAACTAATCCTCCAAACATAACAAGGTGGATGCATGTCATTATCTTTAATGCCATAGAATGCTCAAAAGTTCTTCACAGAAGTGTTATCAAATAACATTTGGCTCTGATATTAAAGAGATAAGGAGATTTTACGGTAGATGACCAATAGCTTGCTTAAATCTTGAATTTTAAGGATATTATCAAAGGAGGAAAGGCAAGGGTTTTAGGGACCAAATTCCAAAGTTCAGTGCCTAACAGCTGAATACACCATGGTAACTGCAGATATGTCAGGTTTCAGAGATGAAGGAGCAGAGATTGGGAACGTTGAGGCTATGGGGAGATAGAAAAACGAAGAAAGAGAAAGTTAAGTATGAAACCTAGTTTGTGAATAATCTGGCTGGGGGACAGTTGTTATTGGTGTCTAAGGAACAGTTTTTTTTAATATGGCAATTTAGGTGCACAGCAAAGTGAAGACATTAAAGGGGAGGGGAGAGAGGTAGAATAAGACAAGGTTCTTAAAGGAGAAATAAGAGGCAAAGGAATAAGTATTCAGAGCAAGGAATGATTTGTAATAAAATCTGTTGTGATGGTCTGAGAGGTACCAGTGGCAGAGGTAGAAATATCATAATATTGGGCCCAATTTTCATTTTTGGTAGACATAGACATACCATGTATGTAAACGATCACTTGATATACCCAGTGGGAGGCCCCAGTCTTGTTGGTGATCAAGCTTTGTTTGCTTCTGATTATTGAGCACAGAATCAGCATTCAAAGGCAACTGACCAATCAGTCAACTATTGGAGAAGGAAAATCTAACAACTCCTCTTTGGAGTTGAGCTGGAAGTCAAAACAAAGGGGGATGAGACAACTAGTCAAGGGTGGGGCATTGAAAAGTCCAGAGTGGTCTTCCTCAGTTTTGCAAAAATAAACATTCTGAATGCTCATCAATATACTTCCAGAGTGGTTTGCTGGAATCCATTCAGAAGATACTTATAGGGTACTCTGTGCCAAATACAAACAAATGGAGAATCAGGGTGATGCAAACTCTAGTCTTCCTCATTGGAAAGTGCATTAAGGTGCAAACTCCACATCCTTGGAGTTTGATTTGCATGTCATAATGAGCTGCCCACCTAAAACATTGAGGTAGGAGATCAACCATGATGTTGAATGGCAGAGTAAGCTCAGGGAGTTGTTTGACCTGATCCCACTCCCATGGTTGTTACGGTATGGAGTGAATTGGGAATGGGACATTAAATTCAGTACATTGATTTTCAGCATACTACTGTCCTGCTCCCAGTCAGTGGAGGAAGTGCATCAATACTTTTGTATAAAATTAGGCTAAGACTGTTAATAGAAAATTAGTATTTTGTGAGACACTGCTCCTGCCATGGATTGTGCTAAATGTAGAACTTTCTCTGTTGTATTCCAGCTCTTTCTTGAAGTGATGCTATTGATAAATGAGACTCCAAGCTGGGAGCAGAGTACAGAATTTACCTTGACAGCCTACTTTATACAAGTTTGGTCTATTTGAAGTTATGAAGAATGAACATCCTCTACGTCAATATGTCAGTTACATCTGAGTAAATACATGCAAAAGAAAATGAATGCAGTACAAAAAGCGAGTATTTTAATGGATTCTTAATTTTCTTGTTTAGAAATTATTTACAAGTCTTAAGCTTCCTTTAGCAGGCTCCAAAAAGTTACAACTGCCTGGAATCTGCATTTCCATCTGCTGATTGAATTGGTTGCAATGAAGAAGGCATTTTGAATGTTGCCAAAAAAGAGACATGAAGTCAATGTTTAAGCTTGTTTGATGCTTTCAACAGTATTGCTATATTTAGTTATAAAAGTAAAACTATTTTCAGGTTGTTAAAGCTTGGAAGTTACAGTTTGGATCACAATCTTTTGTTCTCTGTTTGAGCAGAAATGCTGCCTTTTTTTTATAAATAGAATACCATCTGTGCTAAGATATCCAACACATAGTTTGCTCATTAATGTTCTTAAGAATAATTTCTAACCTAATATAACTTTAAGGAAGTAGACATTGTACAGGAAAGCCGAAAGTGTTTTTATGATACCGGAATAGCTGTGCTGTGGAACAGATTGTTAAGAGATGTTACACAATGATGTTTGTTAAAATTTTATTCTCTTTAAAGAGTTTTTAGATTCTAGATATAAATTTGCTGTTTTTTTTTGCTTTCAATCACTGTCCTTTCAGTGCTTAATATTTACTGGCAGTATACTAAGCTTACTGTTTGACAAGCACAATACATTTGTACAATGTTCCTTTCTCTGCTGGCATTTCCTGTTTATTAACAGCCCTGTTGAAATATTGCACAGAAGAATATCATACCAGTGCTCTAAATCTTTTTCCCCATTTTACCAATTGTATTTTTGAGGTAATTATTTCACTTATGTATGCTATTGTAATAAAAGTTGTAAAAAGTCCATTGCACAAAATATTGTTTTAAGAATTGATTCAAATGCAGTTCCATCCAGCATTACACCAGTAGCAGCAATATCTGTTGCGTCCTTGCTGAGCTTGGTCTTAGTTTTTGTAATAATATAAAGCATACAATGAATTCAGTTCATCAGAAAGAGTATTAAATGAGGGTCGGCTCTCCTCAGACTCATTCCAGCACCTAAGCATTATTCCGTATATGTCTTGGGTACAGTTTTTTGGACAAGGCATTCTATATCCACGGTTTATTTGATCCATGGCTTCTGTGTTTGTCATTCCTGCAAAATTAAATTAAATTATGAAAAAAATGCACAGATCTCTTTGCTATATGCTTTAGAATTTTTAATTCACTTACGCTCATAAGGATCTTTGCCATATGTCACTATTTCGTACAGAAGAATACCGAAAGACCATACATCTGATTTTATTGAAAATCTCTGGTAGTTTGCAGCCTCTGGTGCTGTCCATTTTATAGGCATTTTGGTCCCAGAACGGAGATGATATACGTCATCCTGCCCATTGAAAACATGGAATTTGTTATAATAATAAATATGACTATTTAATTATTTTTGATGCAATGATTAATTAGCAATCATTTATACATTAAGGTAAACAAATGGAAAATCACAGGATAGGAGTGTGTAATTTTCTGGTATAGACTATCAGCGGATAAGGTTCCAAGTAAGGGAACACCAATCTGTACTATTTATCTGCTTCAAAAGACTAGTCTAAGGGTTAAAACTTGGTGAAACTTGTACATTTTATGACTAGGATGTACATGCACAAGGTAGACAAAAACTTAACACGAAGAAAAACCCAACAGTTAGAAAAGCAAATGGCATTTATTTTTTGCCTTAATACAAGTGCTATGACCAGCTCCCGGCAATGGTCCCTATTTCATTACGATTTTGGATGAAACACCCTCAAATAGTTGTGCTCCTGAGTGAAGAGGAATGCACTGGCTCCCTTTTTAAATTAATTCGTCTCTTGGCTGGTCACAACAAGGGTAATTTGAATAGAATCCTTTCCCTTGTCGAAACCTTTTCCAGCTCAAGTATATTCATAGCTTAAAATGAGCCAATTTATCCAGTCTTTTTGAGATAAAGGAAGACTGGGTTTATTGCTGACTAAAACATGAAAATAGAAAATAAAACATTATACGCATATGCAGAGATTAGAATTGAGAGATGAATCCAAAAGGAAAAGGTATAAACAAAATGACATGGTCTTGGCTTGTTTTTGACTGTGAAATGTTGTGGTCAAAAGGTTGGTGATTCTATTAGCGCTGTCTTTGGCAGTTGAGTATCGTTTGCAGATTTTTAGTTTGGAACTTAGCTAAAAGAGATTTTTCCAGGTTCCTTCAACAGGGGCTTTGCTGAAGACTTGTTTTCAGCAACCATAGAGAGACATTCTTTCGTATTACCTCATGCGTAAGAGCCTCTAGTGGAAGTTCTCAGATGTTTCCCTTAACAGCACACTTTAGTACAGTGAAATCTGAACCCCCAAGCTTACTGAGCTTGGTCTTAGTTTTTGTAATAATATAAAGCATACAATGAATTCAGTTCATCAGAAAGAGTATTAAATGAGGGTCGGCTCTCCTCAGACTCATTCCAGCACCTAAGCATTATTCCATATATGTCTTGGGTACAGTTTTTTGGACAAGGCGTTCTATATCCACGGTTTATTTGATCCATGGCATTGACACCAGCATGTCAGCACTCAACTTTTTCCAGATTTTAAGGTTGGATTTCTTCCCCAGATAGGGCCCTTAAGTTTAAACCTGAAACAATTAACACCCCTTCGGACAGCTGGCTATTTCATGGGTGGGCTCACAACCAACTTTTTAGTCAAAGGGCCAAGGAATAGAATATCTTATAAAATGTAGCCCAATCTGTGTTTGTCAAGATCATACAAGACTCCTCCATTATTAATGTCCAAATTTCAGTCAGTGATACAATCGCCACCAAGTGAAACAAGCTGACTTGCCAAATTATACTCTCAGCTCTATGTTTACAGTTCTTTTTATGAAAAAGTAACACAGTTGGTATCTATATTTCTTTTTAAATGGGTAAATATTAGAAAATTCAGAAGGCAAACATGTAGTGGAAATATCAGAAAAGATGAGTTGTCACATAGCTGATAGAGTGTGTGTGTCATCAGCATTTTTATGTATGAGAATGTAAATGCAACAATATACTTCGCTGACTCTCACTTAACCCCGCTCCTTTCCTTTTGCCCAAGCCGACCCAGCCACATTGTCGATGCAGGTCCATGACCTGCTTTGCGCCCAGGAATAGAAATGGGAATATAGGTGCAGGCATAAGAAGCCCTGTATTTCTGAAACAGGCTGATAGATGTGAAGAAAAAAATTACCGAACTGTTTGTGAAGTGTTTATTGCATTGCCACAATGCTATAAGGAAGCATTTCTGTTTAAGGAGATAAGCAAGAAACTGCTGAAACTTTTAATACTTACCTATTCCATCCATTACCAGAGTGTCTTGTTCTATAATGTTCAGCACTTGTTTACACTTCATCTTTGAAACAGCTGACACAAAACAGGATCTTCACAAAACTAGTTCCATCATTGGACTAGAATGTTTGAATGTCACTTACCCGGATTAATCTTGCTAATCCAAAGTCTGCAACTTTACAGTTGAGCTCTTCTCCAACCAGTACATTTCTTGCAGCCAAATCCCGGTGGATAAATTTATGGTGTTCTAAATAAGCCATTCCATCAGCCACTTGACTAGCTATGTATAGATGGTGAGTTGTTGTTAATGATGCTCCTTCATCACCTAGAAATCAAATACACAAATATAACATCTCTAATAGGATTTCAATTTCTAAAGCCAGCAATTTACAAGTGTTTAGTTAGCAAAAAAAATTTGTATGGAAAACTTACACTCTTGGAATTGAGTTAGAGCCCAATCAAGAGGAGTGGTAAAATCATCTTCTCTCCTTTCTGTAAGGGGCTAAACTCAAATGAGGTATGTTATTACCAAGGTAAGGAGATATGGATTGCCTTATCTAATTCTCCCACTTCTGATTTCACCATGACACAGTCTATCTTTGGAATTTATACTGGATGTGCTTTGTCAATTGTGCAATGTTATTTGTTATGGTTATGAAGAATTTCATTAGACAGGTTTCTTTGGATTAAATAAAGAACAAGGTAGGTTTATTAAAACTATTTTTTTCCCTGACAAAGAAAGGCTAAATAACATTCATATAGAAATAGCCCTTAAACACACCACCCCCTACCCCAAACACACTAATACAGACGCAAATAGGTTACAAGGAGGTTATAGTACTTGAAAGTTAAACAAGGGAGTATACAGTGTCAAGACCCATGGGTTAGAATCCCAGAATACTGCAGGCATTTTTAATTTGTCATTCTAAAATGAGTTTTTAAGAGAGGCCTGATATAGCTAAAAATGGTGGTGATGCTGTTGGGAGAGAGAAAGAATCATGGAATGTAACACTTAAAGCTGCAAAGTTAACTTCAAACATCAACCCTTCAAACGGGGAAGGGGCAAGTGAAAACAGACTTGGTCTATCATCTCTTGTGACCTCAAACATAGTGGGGGCCTGACAATTATCTGTAAATTATGTCCCAGTTTGCAGACACATTTTGTGTTTTTCATTTTGAAGAATACAGAAGGGGTTAAAAGGCAAGCTACTACTCTACTGGAGCACGTTAGTGTGACTGAGTTTGTCCCAGTGGATTAAGGTAACCATATGTACTAGTCTGGGTTCAAGTGTTAGCATGCTGTGAATGTTACAGTTGAACAACTACCTCCTAGTAACCCCTGTGATGCAGGAAAAGGGTCTCTCATTCTGGGTGCTAGACATTAGCTAGTAGCAAGCTAGACAAAAGGAAGAGGACAACAAAAAGACTTTCTCCTCTCAATTTTGAAACTCTTTCTTGGTCAAAATGAATCAGAACTTCAGAATATCAATTAACTTACAAAACTAAGAATCTTGAAATTAACTGTTCATTTACCAATATCAACACTACAGTAACTTCCACTGCAACGGCCATGATGTTCAATGATCCATTCTTTATTAACAATTCAGACTTATCATGTAAATATGTTTTTAAAAAAATATTTTTTCCTTCTGGACTAACCTCTTATTTCTAGTCTGTACGGGTATTGTGTTACTAATTCTTCTTGCATTTCTTAATTAATAAACTCACTCTTTATTGAATTGACAAAACCTGGTTAATTGGCTCCTTTTGAAACACAAATTCTTTTGAGTCTGGGACAAAGGTATCCACATGGGAAAAGATCTGTCTGTAAATTAACCTTGTTGTGACCAACCGACGTGGCTGGTGAATAGGGGAAGCAGTTCATCCTTCCTCATTTGGGAGCTTAACAATTGGAACTACTTCATCTGAAGCCATAACAAATTTGGGGACCTTGCCAGTTGTTCTCTTGGATGTAGTTTTATGGAACAGATTCCCACATTGTAAAATGTCTTAGTCAGCAGTTAGAATCATAGAATCCCTACAGTATTGAAGCAGGTCATTTGGCACATCAAGTCCACACGAACCCACTGAACATCATCCCTCCCAGACTCACCCCCTACACCCCAGTCCCTGTACCCCTGTATTTCCCATGCAAAATGGGAATGGAAGGCATATTTCATAAGCTGAATGCAAATGTGTAATTTGTAGGAGTGTAGGCAGTCTGGCCATCAATGGTTAATTTTTAAAAAATCATTATTGTCTGTAGGTTGGTTTTTCTTTCAAATGTCCAGTCATAAAAAGGAAAATTAGCATTTATATCTTCCAAATAAAAGCACATCTTCTTAGGTGTCAACCTGGTTTCCATGTTGGGGGTTAACGCATTTAATCCGTCGTCTGCCTGACCTTTGACAACACTTAAAAGCTTCAACAGAAGAACAGAAAGTGCATGCTACTTCTGAATGGGACTAGTGGTGTACCTCAGGATCTGTTTTGGGGCCACTGCTGTTTGTCATTTTTATAAATGACCTGGATGAGGGCGTAGAAGGATGGGTTGGTAAATTTGCGGATGACACCAAAGTTGGTGGAGTTGTGGATAGTGCGGAAGGATGTTGCAGGTTACAGAGGGACATAGATAAGCTGCAGAGCTGGGCTGAGAGGTGGCAAATGGAGTTTAATGCGGAAAAGTGTGAGGTGATTCACTTTGGAAGGAGTAACAGGAATACAGAGTACTGGGCTAATGGTAAGATTCTTGGTAGTGTGGATGAGCAGAAAGATCTCGGTGTCCATGTGCATAGATCACTGAAAGTTGCCACCCAGGTTGATAGCGTTGTTAAGAAGGCGTACAGTATGTTAGGTTTTATTGGTAGAGGGATTGAGTTTCGGAGCCATGAGGTCATGTTGCAGCTGTACAAAACTCTGCACTTGGAGTATTGCGTACAGTTCTGGTCACCGCATTATAGGAAGGATGTGGAAGCATTGGAAAGGGTGCAGAGGAGATTTACTAGGATGTTGCCTGGTATGGAGGGAAGGTCTTATGAGGAAAGGCTGAGGGTCTTGAGGTTGTTTTCGTTAGAGAGAAGGTTAAGAGGTGACTTGATAGAGACATACAAGATGATCAGAGGATTAGATAGGGTAGACAGTGGGAGCCTTTTTCCTCGGATGGTGATGGCTAGCACGAGGGGACACAGCTTTAAATTGAGGGGTGATAGATATAGGACAGATGTCAGAGGTAGGTTCTTTACTCAGAGAGTAGTAAGGGCGTGGAATGCCCTGCCTGCAAAAATAGTAGACTCGCCAACTTTAAGGGCATTTAAATGGTCATTGGATAAACATATGGATGATAATGGAATAGTTTAGGTTAGATGGGCTTCAGATTGGTTTCACAGGTCGGCGCAACATCGAGGGCCGAAGGGCCTGTACTGCGCTGTAATGTTCTATGTTCTATGTTCTATTTAGTCAGCAAACAATCAAGCTGATAACATCGGTCATTTTGAAAAAGCTGGACATGAATTTGGCAAGAAAATAAATTGAAATTCAAAGATCAGTAGTGTGCTTTTGAACTCTGGAGTCTAACACACAAGGGACCAAATTCATCTTTACCTTCACAGATGCTGCCAGACACGGGAATTCACATCCGCACCACCCACCTTCTCCCTGGACATGCCCTTGATCAATCAGAAATTATTGCAGATCAAGACCTCATCCTCCAAATGGTACACATCCTGCACAGGTTTACTGGCAGGTGAACTACCTGTCATTGTCCTACCTGGAGCTGTGAGAGAAATTGCAGCCAGGCAGGAATAAACCATTAACTGGTCCTTAAGTCATCATTAATTGATTGATCAAGGCATTCCCAGCCAGAATTACTTTGGTGGATGCAGAAGGGCATCATGTATCTGTTCCAATGCCAACCATGTTCCAGTCCTTCTGCCTCTTTCCTCATCTCCAGCAGCCTGGAAGATTCCACGCAGTGTTAGCATTATTTAAGTCTAGCACTGCATTTTCTTATTATTGAATCTTTGTGTACAATATCACTTGCAAATAAATTTTACTGGTAGCTTTATTCTTACATATTGATCTCGAATTGTGATAATTTTGCTTTCTGGAATAGATGGGAGAAGGTGATGAGGCTTCTATTTCATTCTTAATGCAGTATATGTGGTGAGTCTCTTACAACACTATTTCCCTGATGGTATAAGATTGCACATTTTAGTTTATGGAAGGCTTTATAAACCTAAAAGGGTCACCGGACCCAAAACGTTAACTCTGATTTTTTTCTTCACAGATGCTGCCAGACCTGCTGAGCTTTGCCAGCAATTCCTGTTTTTTTTTTCAGATTTCCAGCATCTGCATTTCTTTGTTTTTTTCCTGTTTAAAAGACATGTCATGGTACTGTGGGACTTTATTACACTGTGAAACAAAAAATGCAACAAACAAAAGCCCTCTGTCCTCACCCACAACCAATGCCCTGTCCATGCCAACCCATGCTTTCTACCCACCCCATGATCTCACACAGCCTTCATGCTAACCTGTGCTCCTCCACCTAACCCCTATGATCGCTCATGCCCTCTGTACCAACCTGTGTCCTTTCCCCCACTTCTGGTGGCCTTTTATAGCTCCTATGCGATGTAGAGTCAATCCATTATGAGCTATGGCCCCACAACACCCACCGTGTGTCTTTACACCCTTCATGCCAACTTGCATTGTGTCCCCCAGAGGCATAATTCAGAACACATGTTGAGATGAAGAAGATCCAAGTGTCTATTGTCAAATTCACAATTATCAACAACACTCATTGATTAAAAACCCTTTCCTTAACATTTAACACTCAATAGCTACTTAATCTCTTATAAAACAAGAGCTTGTATTCATAGCTGCACTTCAAAGACTTTCTAAGTGCTCAGGACTGTCAAGCATGCTGCAAAATGTGAGGTAACCCAGTGTCTTCTCAAACATTTGAAGGCCAGATGATTCAAATGACTTGACAGCTTGACAGCTCCAATGAGGTTATTCACTTTTTATGCACATTTCAAGACTTGTTATTGCAAATGAATACTATTATTTTTAAATAATGGAATACTATTATTTTTAAATTATTTTAAAAAATTATAGTAATTCCTCCTATTGTAGAAATTAGATGTAATTCAGAGCAGAAGCCAAATATAGTGAATTTTTTTCAGTCACATTCATTTCATACTCCCTTGGTACCATCCCATGCAACTTCAGTAAAATGTGTAAGCCTTGACCTTTTACTGCCAAGACTCCAAACACAAGCAGCAATTTGCTGCATTGCTTATATCCATATCAAATCCACCGAATCTAAAATTGATAACATTTCCTCACACTCTGCTTCCTGTTAGAACTCTATTCTGCTTTTAGCATCTGTTCTGAAGATTCTGCCTTCCACAGAGGAGCCTCTGACATGTCCCACTCTTTTCCTTAACAGAAGATTCCTTCCCACTGTGGTTGACTAGGCCCTCAGCTGTGTCTAAATTATTCCATGCACTTATAGAGTTTTAGAACTTGGAAACAGAGCCTTTGGTCCAACCAGTCCATGCTGACTATAATCCCAAACTAAACTAGTCCCAGATAACACAGTGTGGAGCTGGAGGAACACAGCAGGCCAGGCAGCATCAGAGGAGCAGGAAAGATGATGTTTTGGGTCGGGACACTTCTTCAGACGCGACCTGATCTGAAACGTTGACTTTCCTGCTCCTCTGATGCTGCCTGGCCTGCTGTGTTCCTCCAGCTCCACACTGTGTTATCTCTGACTCCAGCATCTGCAGTTCTTACTGTCTCTAAACTAGTCCCATCTGCTGCTCCTGGCCCATATTCCTCCAAACCATTCCTATTAATTTATGTATCCAAATATCTTTTAAATGTTGTAATTATACCCACATTCAGCAGTTCCTCTGGAAGTTCATTCCACACATGACCACCCTCTGTGTAAAAAAGTTTCCCCTCATGTCTTTTTTAAATCTTCTCCTCTCACCTTAAAAATGTGTTCCACAGTCTAGGAATTCCCTATCCTAGGGAAAAGACAACTACCATTAACTCAATCTGTACCTCATTATTTTATGAACTTCTGAAAGGTTGCCTCTCAACCTCCTACGCTCCAGCTAAAAAGGTCCCAACCTGAACTGCCTTTCTTTATAACTTAAACCTTCCATACCCGGCAACATCCTGGTAAATCTCTTCTGAACCGTCTCCAGCTTAATAATATCCTTCCCATAACTTCTGCCCTTACCCTTTCTCCTCCCTCTAAGAACAAATATAGGAGGTTCCCCTTATCCTCGTCTTCCACTTCATGAATCTTTACATTCAAAGGATTAGCTTCCACCTCCAGCAGAATGCCACAACCAAACACATCATCCTCACCCCTGATTTGTTTAGCAATCAGCAGGAACTGTTCCCATCATGACAACTTGGTCCATTCCTCCGTCACTCCCAACACATTTTCACTCCCCCCATAGCACCTTTCCAGGCAATTTCACAAGGTGGAACACTAGCCCTTTTACTGCCTCCCTCCTCAGCCATTTATTTGGTCTTCCTTCGATCTAGTCTACTGTACTCGCTCCTCAAAATGTGGTCTCCTCTACACTGCCCTGACCAAATGCAAACTGGGTGACTGCTTTACTGAACACCTCTGCTCTGTCACAAGAATGACTCCAGTCTTCCAGCTGCTTGCCATTTCAATATACCACATTTGTGTACTAGCCTGCTGCATTGTTCCCGAGGGGCCCAATACCAGCTAGAGGAACAGAACCTCATTTTTGGCTGAGGCACTTTACAGCCTTCAGACATCAACATTGAGTTCAATAACTTCAGATCATGAACACTGTCCTCCATTTGATTACCCCTCCACTAAAGTTTCTTGATTGCATGGGTTTCCTCATTGGAGAACTGATCTACTTTCTTCAACTAATTAATGTCTTTTATATCCCTCCTCTACTACCATGTCTTTTTCTCTGGACATCCTTACCATTTGCTCTGCTGGCCCCTTTTTCATTGCAGTATAAAAATATCACTTTTCTAGCCTCTTTGATTCTGTTAAATTTAATTCTGTTTCTCTCCACAGATTCTGTCACACCTGCTGATTTTTTTCAGCATTTTGTTGTTTTTCCCTATTTCCCACCCATTCAATCATGGCTTTTGTTAACTTTGTAGACCAACATCATTCAGGAATTTTCTCTTCCAACATTATGAGTGAGTAGAACTATAGTTTTCAAATTTGGCTTGAAGGTATGAGACAGAGGGTGGTGGTAGAGTGTTGTTTTTCAGACTGGATGCCTGTGACCAGCAGTGTGCTGCAAGGATTGGTGCTGGATCCACTGCTTTTCATCATTTGTATAAATGATTTGGATGTGAATATTGGAGGTATGGCTAGTAAGTTTGTGGATGATCCCAAAATTGGTGGTGTAGTGGAGTAGGTAGTCTTAGAGTACAATGGGGTCTTGATCAGATGGGCCAATCAGCTGAGGAGTGATAGATGGAGGGTAATTTGGATAAATGTAAGGTGTTGTATTTTGGTAAGGCAAACCATGGCAGGACTTATACAGTTAATGGTGGGGCCCTGTGGAGTCTTGTCAAACAAGGAGACTTAGGGTTCATAATTCCTTGAAAGTGGAGTCACAGGTAGACAGGATGGTGAAGGCAGCATTTCTCATGCTTGCCTTTATTGGTCAGTGCATTGAGTATAGGAGTTGGGACATCGTGTTGCAGCTGAACAGGACATTGGTGAGGTCACTTTTAGAATACTGTATTCAATTCTGGTCTCCCTGCTATAGGAAAAATATTGTTAAACTTGAGAGCGTTCAAAAAATATTTTGCCAGGATTGGAGTGTTTGAGCTACAGGGAGAGGCTGAATAGGCTGGGGCTATTTTGCCTGGAGCGGAGGCTGAGGAGTGACCATATAGAGGTTCATAAAATCATTAGAGGCAAGGATAGGATCAATTGCCTAGTTCTTTTTTTCCCAGGGTAGGGGAATCCAAAACTAGAGGGTATTGGTTTAAGGTAAAAAGGGAAAGGTTTAAAAGGAACCTGAGGGACAACTTCTTGATTGATTTGATTGATTAATTAATTGTCACGTGTACTGAAATACAGTGAAAAGCTTTGTTTACAAGCGGTACAGGCAGATCACAGCAAACAAAGGATGTACAAAAAGACTTAGAAGCATACAGGTTACACTGCAGGTTACATTATCTGAGGCTAGAGTCCATTCAACAGTCTGATAACGGCCACAAAGAAGCTGTTCCTGAACCTGCTTGTGCGTGTGTTCAGGCTTCTGTATCTTCTGCCTGATGGAAGAGGTTGTAGGAGGTCATTACCGGAATGTGATGGGTCTTTGATGATGTTTGCCGCTTTTCTGCTCTTCACACAGAGGATGGTGCATGTACGGAACGAGCTGCCAGAGGAGGAGATGGAGGAGGGTACAATTACAACATTTAAAAGGCGTCTGGAGAGGTATATGAATTGGAAGGGTTTAGAGGGATATGGGCCAAAATGCTGTCAAATGAAATCAGATCAGTGTAGGATATCTGGTCAGTGCGGGTGAGTTGGGCTGAAGGTCTGTTTCCATGCTGTATAACTCTATGACTCTATTATGTCCCAAACAAAAATACTACAGGTCAGATGATTAGGATTCTAAATTCATTATAATGAATAAAAACCAAAAGAACTGCGGATGCTGTAAATCAGGAACAAAAATGAAGTTGCTGGAAAAGCTCAGCAAGTCTGGCAGCATCTGTGAAGGAGAAAACAGAGTTAATGTTTCGAGTCCGGTGACCCTTCC